CTGAATTGACCAAGCAGAAGAAAGTATATCAGAGGTTGAAGACCAACTCAATGAAATAAAACGGGAAGGCAAGAATAGAGAAAAAAGGGTAAAAAGGAATGAACAAAATCTCCAAGAAATGTGGGACTATGTGAAAAGACCTAATCTTTGATAGGTGTACCTGAATGCGACGAAGAGAATGAATCCAAGCTGGAACATACTCTTCAGGATATTATCCAGGAAAACTTCCCCAACCTAGCAAGGCAGGCCAATATTCAAGTCCAGGAAATACAGAGAACACCATAAAGATATTCCTCAAGAAGAGCAACCCCAAGGCACATAATCATCAGAATAACCAGGGCTGAAATGAAGGAGAAAATCCTAAGGGCAGGCAGAGAGAAAGGTCAGGTTACCCAAAAAGGGAAGCCCATCAGACTCACAGCAGATCTCTCAGCAGAAAGCCTACAAGCCAGAAGAGAGTGGGGGCCAATATTCAACATCCTAAAAGAAAAGAACTTTCAACCCAGAATCTCCTATCCAGCCAAACTAAGCTTCATAAGTGAAGGACAAATCAAATCCTTTGTGAACATGCAAGTACTGAGAGATTTCATCACCACCAGGCCTGCTTTACAAGAGCTCCTGAAAGAGGCTCTACACATAGAAAGGAACAACCAGTACCAGCCACTCCAAAAACATGACAAATGGTAAAGAGAATCAACACAATGAAGAATCTGCATCAACTAATGGGCAAAACAGCCAGCTAGCACCAAAATGGCAGTATCAAATTCACACATAATAATATTAACCCTAAATGTAAATGGACTAAATGCCCCAATTAAAAGACATAGACTGGATAAAATTGGATAAAATGCCAAAACCCATCCGTGTGCTGTATCCAGGAAACCCATCTCACAGGCAAGGATACACAAAAGCTCAAAATAAAGGGATGGAGGAAGATTTACCAAGCAAATGGAGAGCAAAAAAAGCAGGAGTTGCAATTCTCATCTCTGATAAATTAGACTTTAAAGCAACAAAGATCAAAAGAGACAAAGAAGGACATTACATAATGGAAAAAGGATCAATGCAAGAAGAAGAGCTAACAATCCTAAATATATATGCACCCAATACACGAGCACCCAGATACATAAGGCAAGTTCTTAATGACTTACAAAGAGACTTAGACTCCCACACAATTATAGTGAGAGACTTTAACACCCCATTGTCAATATTACAGATCAACCAGACAGAAAATTAACAAGGACATCCAGGACTTGTAGTCAGACCTGGACCAAGCAAACCTAATACACATTTACAGAACTCTCCACCCCAAATCCACAAAATATACATTCTTCTCAGCACCACATCACACCTACTCTAAAATTGACCACATAATTGGGATTAAATCATTCCTCAGCAAATGCAAAAGAACGGAAATCATAACAAACAATTTCTCAGACCACAGTGCAATCAACTTACAACTCAGAATTCAAAAACTAACCCAGAACCGCACAGCTCCATGGAAACTGAACAACTTGCTCTTGAATGTTGACTGGATAAACAATGAAATGAAGACAGAAATAAAGATGTTCTTTGAAACCAACAAGAATGAAGACACAACATACCAGAATCTCTGGGACACATTTAAAGCAGTCTCTAGAGGAAAATATATAGCAATAAGTGCCCACATGAGAAGCAAGGAGAGATCTAAAATTGACACCCTATCATCAAAATTGAAAGAGCTAGAGGAGTAAGATCAAAAAAACTCAAAACCTAGCAGAAGACAAGAAATAGCTAAGATCAGAGCAGAACTGAAGGAGATAGAGACACAAAAAACTCTTCAAAAAATCAATAAATCCAGGAGCTGGTTTTTTGAAAAGATCAACAAAATAGACAGACCACTAGCCAGATTAATAAAAAAGAAAAGAGAGAATAACCAAATTGATGCAATAAAAAACGACAAAGGGGATATCATCACAGATTCCACAGAAATTCAAACCATCATCAGAGATTATTACAAACAACTCTATGCACATAAACTAGTAACCCTGGAAGAAATGGATGAATTCCTGGACACTTGCCTCCTCCCAAGCCTAAACCAGGAAGAAGCCAAAACCCTGAATAGACCCATAACAAGGTCTGAAGTTGGGGCAGCAATTAAGAGCTTACCATCCAAAAAAAAAGCCCAGGTCCAGACAGGTTCACAGCTGAATTCTGCCAGACATACAAAGAGGAGCTGGTACCATTATTTCTGAAACTATTACAAGCAATACAAAAAGAGGGAATCCTTCCCAAATCATTTTATGAGGCCAACATCTTCCTGATACCAAAACCCGGCAGAGACTCAACAAGAAAAGAAAACTTCAGGCCAATATCCATGATGAAAATAGACACAAAAATCTTCAACAGAATACTGGCAAGCCAATTGCAACAGCACATCAAAAAGTTTATCCACCACGATCAAGTAGGCTTCATCCCAGGGATGCAAGGCTGGTTCAACATACGCAAGTCTATAAACGTAATTCACCACATAAACAGAACCAAAGACAAAAACCAGGATTATCTCAATTGATGCAGAGAAGTCCTTTGACAAAATTCAACAGCCCTTTATGCTAAAAACCCTCAATAAGCTAAGTATTGACGGAACATATCTCAAAATAATAAAAGCTATTTGACAAACCAACAGCTGATATCATACTGAATGGGCAAAAACTGGAAGCATTCCCCTTGAAATCTGGCATAGACAAGGATGCCCTCTCTCACCACTCCTATTCAATACAGTACTGGAAGTTCTAGCCAGAGCAATCAGGCAAGAAAAAGAAATAAAGGGTATTCAAATAGGAAAGGAGGAAGTCAAATTGTCTCTATTTGCAGACGACATGATTGCATATCTAGAAGACCCCATCATCTCAGCCCAAAATCTCCTGAAACTCATAAGCAATTTCAGCAAAGTCTCAGGATACAAAATCAATGTGCAAAAGTCACATGCATTCCTATACACCAATAACAGACTTAAAGAGAGCCACCTCAAGAATCAACTTCCATTCACAATTGCCACAAAGAGAATAAAATACCTAGGAATACAACTAAAAAGGAATGTAAAGGATCTCTTCACGGAGACCTACAAGCCACTGCTCAAATAAATCAGAGAGGACACAAACAGATGGAGAAACATTCCATGTTCATGGCTAGGAAGAATCAATATCGTGAAAATGGCCATACTGCCCTAAGTAATTTACAGATTCAATGCTGTCCCCATCAAGCTACCAATGACCTTCTTCACAGAACTGGAAAAAAACACCTTAAACTTCATATGGAATCAAAAGAGAGCTCGCATAGCCAAGTCAATTCTAAGCATAAAGAACAAAGCGGGAGGCATCACACTACTGAACTTCAAGCTATACTACAAGGCTACAGTAATCAAAACAGCATGGTACTGGTACCAAAACAGAGATATAGACCAATGGAACGGAACAGAGATCTCAGAGGCAACACAACATATCTACAGCCATCTGATCTTTGACAAACCAGACAAAAACAAGCAATGGGGAAATGATTCCCTGTTTAATAAATGGTGTTGGGAAAACTGGCTAGCCATGTGCAGAAAGCAGAAACTGGACCCCTTCCTAACACCTTACACTAAAATTAACTCCAGATGGATTAAAGACTTAAACATAAGACCTAACACCATAATAACCCTAGAAGAAAATCTAGGCAAAACCATTCAGGACATAGGCGTAGGCAAGGACTTCATGACCAAAACACCTAAAGCATTGGCAACAAAAGCAAAAATAGACAAATGGGACCTAATCAACTCCACAGCTTCTGCATGGAAAAAGAAACAGTCATTACAGTGAAATGGCAACCAACAGAATGGGAAAAAATTTTTGCAGTTTGCCCATCTGACAAAGGGCTGATATCCAGAATTTACAAAGAACTAAAACAGATTTAGAAGAAAAAAACAAACGAGCCCATTCAAAAGTAGGCAAAGAATATGAACAGATACTTTACAAAAGAAGACATACATGAGGCCAACAAACATATGAAAAAATGCTCATCATCACTGGTCATTAGAGAAATGCAAATCAAAACTACATTGAAATACCATCTCATGCCAGTTAGAATAGCGATCATTAAAAAATCTAGAGACAACAGATGCTGGAGAGGATGTGGAGAAATAGGAACACTTTTACACTGTTGGTGGGAGTGTAATTTAGTTCAACCATTGTGGAAGACAGTGTGGCGATTCCTCAAGGACCTAGAAATAGAAATTCCATTTGACCCAGCAATCCCATTACTGGGTATATATCCAAAGGATTACAAATCGTTCTACTATAAGGACACGTGCACACGAATGTTCATTGCAGCACTGTTTACAACAGCAAAGACCTGGAACCAACCCAAATGCCCATTGATGATAGACTGGGCAGGGAAAATGTGGCACATATACACCATGTAATATTATGCAGCCATCAAAAATGATGAGTTTGTGTCCTTTGTAGGGACATGGATGAACCTGGAAACCATCATTCTCAGCAAACTGACAGAAGAGCAGAAAATCAAACACCGCATGTTCTCACTCATAGGCGGGTGTTGAACAATGAGAACACATGGACACAGGGAGGGGAACACTACACACTGGAGTGTGTTGAGGGGAAATAGGGGAGGGACGGTGTGGGGTGGGGAGTTGGGAGAGATAGCAAGGGAGAGATGCCAAATGTAGGTGATGGTGAGGAAGGCAGCAAATCACACTGCCACGTGTGTACCTATGCAACAGTCTTGCATATTCTTCACATGTGCCCCCAAACCTAAAATGCAATAAAATAAAATAAAAAAATATTTGACTCCCCAAAAACTTAACTACTAGCAGCCTACTCTTGACTGGAAGCCTTACTGATAACATAACAGTAAATTAACACATATTTTGTGTGCTGTATGTATTAAATACTGGAATATTACAATAAATTAAGCTCAAGAAAAGAAAATGTTATTAAGTAAATCATGAGGAAGAAAAATATATTTACTCTTCATTATGTGAAGTGGATCATCACAAAGGTCTTCATCTTCATTGTCTTCATGTTGAGTAGGCTAAGGAGAAGGAAGAGAAAGGGTTGGTTTTGCTGTCTCAGGGGTGGCAGAGGAGGAAGATGTAGAGGAGATAAGAGAAGAGGTAGTAGAACAGGCACACTGGGTATAACTTTTACTGACAAAAATCCACGTATAAGTGGACCCAAGCAGTTCAAACCTGTGTTGTTTAAGGGTCATCTCTCTCTCTCTGTGTGTGTGTATACATATGTATATTATACTTACATTTTTAAGGACAGACACATAACAATGACAGCTAAAGCACTAGTTTTCCTGCAGTATGATCTAGGCACACAAGCTTCCTTATTTCTGTCCATATGCCTGTTTTGTGAGATGTGAATCTCCTTCTGTTGAATTCTTTTTCTGCTTATGAGAGTCAGAGTCATTTTCCAATACTTATAACAAAAAAATCCTTACTGATATAGAAGTTCATTTTTTGAAAATTTTAAATAATTTTTTAAAATTAATATATATTTATATATAATATGTAATTTTTAATATAAACTTCACCTGGCATAGAATTAAATAGCTAAATATATGTATAATTTGTATTATTAATTACATTATATGCATATGTACTGATTTACAAATATATACATTATATGTATATATATATGTAACTAATTGTTGTACAGTTTATATAGAGTAAAACACAACACTTTTTGTATATACTGGGATCAATATTTTTAAGGAATCACTATATCCCTGAAAGCAACACTTGCATCAGGATATCGAACATTTCTGCACCCCAGAAACCTTCCTGATATCTCTTCCTGTCAATACACACCTCTGACAGGCAATTAGTATTCTGGTTTTAAAAGATTAGTTTCACCTGTTCTTGAACTTTATGTAAGTGGAATTATATAGTACACACCTTTGTATAAGTCTTTTGGCGTATGTATGTTTTCATTTTTCTTGGATAAATGCCTAAAAGCAAACTTGCTGGGTCTTAGTTTTATCTATGTTTAACTACATTAGAAATTTTACCAAACAATTCAAACTAATTGAAAACCAACTGGTACCCAGCTAGGAGACTAACTCAAAATAGCATGGAGTATGTCAAAGAGAATAACAAAAAGTAAAGCATGAAAAACACAATTTAAATAAATAAACTGTAGCTGACGTTATAATGCTTCTAGTAAAATTAGCAGTAAGACGGAAAATCTTTATTAGTTATTTTAGAAAATATCTTAATGCTATTACTTGCCAACATTCTAGGAAGACTTTTGCATATGACTTGCAGATATACTGAAATAGCGAGAGCAACTTTACAATAAAGATACATTAAAAGAGATTTGCTTCGTACAAAAGCAGCTGATGTAGCCATATTACCTATACTAATAAACTAAAAAATAAAAACAATATCGTCTCAATTGACATACTAAAAGCATTCAACAAAATTCAACATCAATTCCTCATAAAAACTTTGAGCAAACTGGAACTGGAAAGAAATTTCTTGAGCCTGATCGAGGACATCTGCAAAATCCTGGAGCTGATATTATGCTTAATGATGAAAGTCTGAATGCTTTCTAATTAAGATCAGGAAAGGGCAAGGAGGTCAGCTCCTATCACTTCTGTTCAACATTGTAGTGGAGGTTCTGACCAGTTAAGTATGCCAAGAAACAAAAGGCATCCAAATTATAAAGAAAAAGGTTAAAACTGTCTTTATTTGCAGATGCTTGCCTAAGTAAAATCCATCAGAATCTACAAAAAAGGTAATAGAACTGATTAATATGTGAATTAAGCAAGGCTACAGAATATAAAAACTACATACAGAAACCAATTATATTCTCATAGTCTAGCAACAAAACATTAGACATTGAAATTTACACAAAAATTTTTCCAATAATATTAAATGTAATATATGAAGCTGAATCTTTCACAAAATATGTGCAAGATCTGTACACTGAAAACTATAAAACATTGCTGAGAGAAATTAAAGGCCGAATAAATGTAGAGATACACCATGTTCACGGATTAAAAAATCCATTATTGTTGATGTCCATGTACCCCAAACTGACTAATCACAATCCCAACAGAATTTTTTAAAGAAATTATATACTAATTCTAATTTTTTTTTTCTTAAGATGGAGTCTTGCTCTGTGGCTCAGGATGTAGTGCAGTGGTGTGATCTCAGCCTCATTGCAACCTCCACCTCCCAGGTTCAAGCAATTCTCCCGCCTCAGCCTCTCCAGTAACTGGGACTACAAGTGTGCACTACCATGCCTAACTTTTCTGTTTTTAGTCAACAGTGGGTTTCACCATGGTGGCCAGGCTGGTCTTGAACTCCTGACCTCAAGTGATCTCTGCTTCAGCTTCTCAAAGTGCTGGGATTACAGGCATGAGCCACTATGCCATACCTGATTCTAAAATTTATTTGCAATTGCAAAAAACCTATATAGCCCCCCAAGACTTTGAAAATTAAGAAAAAACTTTAGAGAACTAATGACATCTTATTTCAAGGCTTTTTAGAAAATGACATTTATGAGGTTTTCAAGTATGGTTTTCTGTCAAAACAGACAACTAGATGAATGGAACAAAACAGAGAACAGAAATAGACCCACATATAGTTGGACAACTGATTTTCAACAGATATACAAAGATAATTCAGTGGAGAAAGGATAATCACTTCAACCAATAGAGCTGGAAAATTGGTACTATAAAGAATAAAAAGAACCAAAATAATTTTAATTCCTACCACATACTATGTGATGTAGAAAAATTAACTCAAAGACCATAGACTGCCTTAGTCCATTCAGGCCCCAGTAATAAAATGCCTTAGACTGGGTAATTTATAAACAATAGAAATTGTCATTTATAGTGCTGGATGCTGGGAAGTCCAAGAAGAAGGAGTCAGCAGATTTATAGATGGGGCCTTCTTGCTGCAATCTCTTGAGAAGAAAGGGGTAGACAAGCTCTCTTAAGTCTCTTTTATAAGGGCACTAATCCCACTCATGAGGGTAGAGACTTCATGACTTAATTATCTCCCAAAGGCGACATCTTGTAATAATATCACATTGGGAATTTTCAACATATAAATTTTGGGAAAGCAGGTACATTGAAACCATAGCACAGACCTAAAACTAGAACATCTTTTGAAGAAATCAAAGAAGAAAAGCTTTATGTCTTTGGGTTAGGTGAAGATTTCTTAGATACTACACACACACACACACACACAAATCCATTATAAATCGATAATTTAGATTTAATTAAAATTTAAAACATTTTGCACTGTGAAAAATCAATTTTAAGAGAATGAAAAGAAAAGCCACAAACCAGGGGAAAATATATGCCAATTATATTTTAAAAACTCATGTGTAAAATACCTAAAGAACTCTCAAAACTTAATCATATAAAAACAAACCAATTTTTTAAAAGGAGGGTAAAAGAGTTGAATTCATACTTCACCAAAGAAGCTCCATGGATGGCACATTAGCATATGAAGTGATCCTCAATGTGATTAGTTCTTAGGGAAAGGCAAGTAAAACTACCAAGAGGTATTACCACACAGCCATTAGATTAGATAAGATTAAAAAGGCTCACCATACCAAGTGTTGGCAAGGGTATGGAGGATGCTAAACTTTTATACAATGCTGGTAGGAGTGTAATATGACACAACCATCTTGGACAGAGGTTTGATGTTTCTTAAAATGATAAACATACACAGCTATAAAATCCAACCATTCAAATTCTAGATATTTACTCACAAGAAATGGAACATATGTATGTACAAACATTTGCACACAGTTATTCCTAGAATCTTTTCTTGGCATTTTCCAAAAGCTGAAAACTACTCAAACATCCACCAACATGTGAGTGGGTAAACAAATACTGTTATATCCGTGGAACAAAATTATACTGTGCAGTAAAAAGGAATGAACCAATGGCACATGCAACACATCAATGAATCACAAAATCATTATGCTGCATGAAAGAAGCCAGATTCTCCTGCAGTCCTCTAAAAAGAGTATATACTCTTCTATTCCATTTATATAAAATGCTAGGAAATAAAAATAAAAATTAATTATGATTACGGAAAGCAGTTCAGTGTTTTTCTGAGGATGCAGAGAGGAAGCATGAAGGAGGAATTCAAAAGACACAAGAAAACCAGTGGGGGTGATGGATATGTTGATTATTTTGACTGCAGTGATGGTTTCATGGGCATATTCGTGTGTCAAAACATACTAAAAGTGTACACTTTAAGTATATGCACTTATTATATGTCAATTACAGGTAAATAAAGCTGATTTAAATAAACAAATGGGATATAAGTATAAAGTTTAATTTGAAAATTTCTTTAAAGTTAAATCTCTTTTATCTGTAGTAATTTATAAAGAAACTGTCCCAAATCTAGTCGAGGAAAAAACTTTTTTGACCAGAGATACTTACATCACTGTTCTAGGAAGAAATTTTAGTGCTGACAAAATGCTCAAGCAATTTTTAATAAAGTTTAACAATACTAAGTCTTCTTCTAAAATTAGCTAACCACTCAATGGTTATTAGTCAAGTGTCTATGTTCATTAGCTAGATGTTTTTTTTTGTTTGTTTGTTTTTTTTTTTTTTTTGTATCCAGATACCACTAATTGTCTAGTCAATCTTTTCACTTTGAAATTGTCCTTACTGAGAAAGAATATTTCATTTGGCCAGCTTAGCCCTCTCTTCTTGCAAACTTTGAAATAAAAATTTGATATAAGCTCAAACAAATTTTCCTAAATTTTTATTTGAAGATTGTGAATTATTTAAATAAGAATGAGAGGGCAAGAAGGAGGGGAGTAATAGAGGGTGGTCGAATAAAATAAAATGATTAGTGGAAATCAAATTATTAATATTTTGAGGAGAAAATCATGAAAATTTAAAAAATAAAGTGAATGATTATTATTAAATTTTGAAATTAATGGTAAAATTTCAAAGAAGCGAAATAAGAGGATTTCAATCAGAAACATTAACACGCATAGAGCACTATGTAGTATTATAATGTTTTATTCTGATTAAGGGACTAGTAG